ATTTCATTTTGAATAACAACTACTAACTATGTATAATCAAATAATTATATTAATCGAATATGTTATCTATGATCCACTGCTCACTAACTACCATCAGCTAATTATTATTCCTTATCTGTCACCTATTACTTATGACTTGTTATGCACTATCTGTTATCTATTGAATTTTAATCGTTATACCAAATAGACTCTAAATTAAAGTTAATATTTAAACTTTTAATATTGGTTAATTGTAAAAAAAATATTAATTATATATAAATTAAAAAATTGTTTTTAATAAATAAATATTCATTTAACTTATATTTTAATGACACAGATTAAGAATGTATTAATTATATTTTTTATAATTAATTTATATAAAAAATAAAAATTTAAATTTAAATTTATTAATTATTTAATTAAAATCATTCAACTAAAATTAATATTAAAAAAAACATGTTTTATTTTAAAAAAATTTTAATATAAAATAATACAATTAACACACATCAGCTACATCAATAAATGTGCTTTATTCGCACTTGCCTCTTGTAGTCTAATGATTAATGCCATTGAAAAAATGTATATCTATCTCCCTCTCCTGTACGGATTTCGAAGCCGCTCATGACAAAAAGTTCAAAAAAAATAAATGTGCTTTGTTCGTTCACTTCGGGCCTACACAGCTGGACTTCGTAGTTTTACTTAAAAACTTTTGGCCCATAGTGAGGCCTGTGCCCAACCATGGACCAACATGTTCTGCCATAATGCCATTGACCATAAGTAGTCAAGGATTCCCTATCTTCAGAATTAAATGTCCGGGTCAACCATGCCAACGTGTTCTGCATAATGCCATTGACCATTAGTGGTCAAGGATTCTCTATCTTCAGAATTAAATGTCCGGGCCAACCATGGGCCGACGTGTTCTGCCATTGGCCACATGTAGTAGAGGATTCATTAAAAGGGGTTTATCTAACATATATATTTTTAAAGTGTATTAAATATATATTTTTATTATAAATTTATATTAAAAATAAAATTTAATTTTTAATTTATTAATTATTTAATTAAATTTATTTAATATTAAAATTAATATCAATTTTTATATTTTTATATATATTATTAATAATAAATATATATTTAATGAGCAATGCTAGTGGCACTAGCCTCCTGCACTCTTCGGCCAACCCTTTCTCTTTTATTGAGCCACGTTATTTTGGTTTCCGAGAGGTTGCGCCTGAAAGGTTTAAAGAAGCTTACATGACCCAATGAAAGGGGGAGTGTTGGCCTAAGAGTGCAAAAAGCGAGTGCTCTTAGCACTGCTCATATTTAATATATTTTTAATATATACAATACGATATTAAAAAAATATTAAGGAAATAGGTAGTCCAGGATTCTCTATCTTCAGAATTAAACGCCCGGGCCAACCATAGGCCAACATATTCTGCCATTGACGTAAGTAGTCAAGGATTCTCAATCTAACCATAAAAAAGAAAAAAAGGATTCCTACATAAAAAAAAAAAGATATCTTCAGAATGAAACGCCAGGGCCAGCCATGGGCCAGCGTGTTCTGCCATTGACTATAACCAGTCAATGGTTCGCTATCTTTCGAATTGAGTGCCTGTCTACAAGTGCATAACA